TTTAAAAATTGTCAAAGTTGAAATTTATAATAAAAACATAGTAAGTGGACTCAAACTTTTGAAAGCAACTGTATATAATATTAGTTATAATTAGTTTAAATTTTTTTTAAAAAAAAAATTATTTTTTGATTTTTATTGATTTTATAAATTTAAAATATGGATTATTTCAATTAAAAAAGCAAGATAAAATTAAAATATCAATTAATTCTTTTATTGATCAAAATTTTTTAGTAAAATTTATATTATTTAAAAATTAAAAATCAAATTAAAATTGATAAGAATTTTTTAAAAAACTATAAAAATAATAGCTTTAAAAAGATAGAGACAATTAATAAGAAAAAAAATAATTTCTTTTATTATTAGAAAATCTCTTATAATTTATTACAAAGATAAAAAAAATTTAAAAAGTACATTGATATTTTTTTTTTTGTTTATTGTCAAAAATTAAATTTATATTTGAAAAAATTATAAACAAAAAAATAGAAATAGTAATAATTTTTGAAAATATTTTTAAGTTATTTTAAAAAAAGTATTTAGACTTTATTAACAAAAAAGTTATCAAACTTATGAATATCTTTTTATACATAATTAAAGAATTGGTAAAAATCATTTCTTTAATATGTATTTTTTAAATCATAATATTGAATTTGTAAACTCTATATAATATATAATTGTTTGATAAAGTATATATAACTAACTATAACTAACTTGATAAAAGATTTAAAAAAAATTGTATCTGAAGGATAAGAGAAATATATTACAATTAATAAAAGCTTACAACACAACTTAAGACAAGCTAAAAAGAATAATATAATCAAGTATTGTTCTAGATAATATATTGTTTAAAATTTAGAAACACTAAGTTTACTTTGTTTTATTAGAAATCTTTTAATACTAATATAAAATCGATAAAATATTTGAATAGTATTTTTAATAACATTTAATAAAGCATTTTTGTGCACCTATTTCCATAAGTGTACACCCTCCATAAGCGCATGGTTTCAGGAAAGATGTATTTAGGGAGGTTTACCTGTATTCATTTTTTACTTTATGGCCATATATAGATCTCTAACGAAATTGAGATAGGAGTAACTTTTAAGTTTGTAGAGTAACGGGATGCATCAATTTACTTCGTTGCCATTTGGTCACCCTTCAACGATAAAAGTTTTCTTCAGCCGTCTTCTAACCAAATTTACCAAAGTTTTCTCTGGATTATCTCTGACCAATTGATTTTCCCATTCATTAATGTAATAGGCGAATATCCCAGTGCAGATAGCAAAAACAATATCTCCACGCCTTGAATATATGTTATTTTAGGGATAGACAATATTAATGACCGAATTAAGAAATTGCAATAAGAGCAATGTGCGTTTATGAACTTCGAGAGATTCAATTCACCTAGAGATAAAATATTTATAGCGAGCAGGGGGTGGCGCTGGAATCATTGGCATCGCAAATTTAGCAAAAAATTGACGTTTAACTAGAAAATATTTATTTACACAGATTGACCAATCGGCACTTTCTAGATTCATCGTCCAATAGGATTGATTCCATTTCATTGAAACGGATACACGGCGAAGTTATAAGTGCCGGAATTTAGGTGTTGTGTTATAAGCACAGAAAACATAGGACTTACAGAAAAGAATCTCTCATACATACACGCAGTTTTCTTGTATTATGCTGTTAAATCTCATTTTGATCTTTTAAACATCTTCTGCCTCATCATTATCTTCACTTTCGTTCTCAACGCTGCTACCGTCGCCTTCTTCATCTCCTTCCTCGTCATCTACGTAAATAAATGCCATCTCCCTCCTGGGATATTTTGCCGAATTATTGGTATATTTAACAAATCTCATGGTACCTTCGTCCCTAACGACGATGCTAAGTGTATTCCTTTTTGGCCAAAGGGTCAGTAACTCTTCTTCTCTTGTCACATAATGTGTTCCACCTTGCCATCCTACATTCCATTCTTCTGCTTCGCCGGTTTCTTTGTTCTTTTCTTCGATACAATATAACACTATGTCTAATCCTTCGCGATCCAATGCTTGATCGTGAAGCACGGTGTAGTCACCAGGTAAGAATTGACGGATTTCTGATGACAATGATGTGACATCGTATCTTGTGATTTCCGAAAGAAAGGCGGTAAATGCTGTTGAGGTTAGGAAATCATGGATGAATTTGTAAAACGGTGGAGACGTCGTGCATCTCTCATTGTCCATCAAATGGTATTTTCTAATAAACGGAGGTCCCACGGGATTTTCTTTCCATTCTACGTGATCCAGACTATCCATCAGTTTTTCGTAGACTTCCTCTTTGAGGAATTGATGCAGCTCAATTGATGCCTCCTGTCTGAGTGTTTTCAAGATACTCTTTTTCCCTTGCTCGGTTAAATAACTTGGATTCACAAAATCACTTATGGAGGAGTATTGATGATGAAAAGGTTGATCAAGTCGAGGTGTAAAAAGAGTTGGAGAATTGTAATCGGCATTTGACAGTCTCGTGCGCAAAGAACCATGAAACCAACCGGAAACGGAAAGTCGTACTTTTGATCTGGATAAAACTTCGGAAACTTGATGGTATGAGGTCGGGCTTAGTTCGAAAAATGCCATGGAATTCCATTTTGGAATTATGGACCGAACAATTTTGTTTGGTTGCCCAAATTCGTCGCTATTATCATTTTACGCGAAGGCGAAGGGGAACCAGAAGATTATTCACGAGCTACGTGCGTAACACAATTAAATAATCTACCAACAGGAATGACATGCCTATCAAATAACTGTAATGCACCTCCGTCCTCTTCGCTCCAGCTTTCTTCAACCAAATAAAAAATGAAGGCCACTCTTCTTCCGTGCAAATTATCGTCGTCTTTAATATCGTCATCGTGGCATAACAGGTAATTACCATACGAATATTGATGTGCAGACAAATCCGGTGTGTCATCCAACTTGATTCCAGTGAGCTCGGAAATCAATCGAACAAATTGAGGGGAGTAGATGGATTCTCGCAATTTAACTAACTCTGGCCTCGTGGAAAGCTTTAGGTCATCACTTTGATAGAATTCATACAAGTCATTGGATTTGTGATAAAATGTTTCCTTTTCCAATGCAGATCTGACGGATTCTAGGAATTGTGTAGGAAAAATGTTGGAAAGGATGGCTGTCGGGAAAGGTTTATTGGAAATGGTGGCCGAGGCATCACTAAACGGGAGCTGTTTGCGGAATGCGGTGCGAAAGGCGGAAATGAAAGGAGGTTGAACATAGTTTTGGTTGAATAACTCCTCGAATGGTTTTATTTCGGTGAGAAGTTCCGATGATTCGGTGGCATCCAACTTTAATTTTTTATTTTCCCTGATCGAAGTATCGCTGGCTTCGGGAGACGCGTATTTTTTCATTTTTCATTTTTCATTTTTTTTTTTTTTCCTGCTCATCGAGTGGAAAATCATCGTACATGTGTAACACCAAATCCGTTTGTTACGTGTGACTGGAAATATAAAATTACAGTTGGTGCATGAATCATGGTGCACGTGCATACGAGTTTCGGAGGATATAAATAAACCAAACTACACTACGCACGCTTCCATTTCAAAAATTGCGATCTTTTTGCAACTACGCACACAGTAACCCTCGATAACCCCCTTCCCTCTCTTCATACGGCGAACTATCGATACAAGGAATCATATGAAAATTTATCTTTACTAAACCTCGGATTCTAAACTGCTTGCCAAGGTCATAAAAATTTGTTCTTAAAATACATTTTATATAGTTTTTGAATCTTTGACTAATGGTCCCGAGGTTTATTTATATCAAGAGGAACTGTGTTATCACTCTTTTATTATTGTTAAAGACTTTCACGAATACCATCCTAATTTCATATTTTCTTTAGAATTGAGAAAGCCGACACACCCTCCTTTCATAATCTATCCTGCTTCTGCTTTACCATTGTTACGTGGCAAACCTTCCTATTATTATTGCTATTATTATTATTGCCACCACTACTATTATTATCATCATCATTATAAAAAAAAGAGGACATTGAAGCTCTCGGGAGTACAATGCCAGTACCATTGTTACCTTATGATTGTATAGTAAACATTCTAGAAAAACTAGAGAATGAACGATCCACTCTTTATAGATGTCTCTTTGTCAATCGTTTTTGGTGCACATACGCTGTTCGTTTACTCTGGCATCGACCATTCTCAAGCTCGCATCGAGACAAACATTATATGATTGTAAAAACGTACCTCTTGTTTTTCAATGAATCAGAACAGAAAAGTCTCATACCTTTCAACATCACCCTCGACTCTCAAAATCAAAAATCCTTACCTTTATTTCCCTACGCCAAGTACCTGGAAGAATTTTCTGATCTGGATTTCGGATTGTCAATTGAGGTTTTCTTGAACTATAGTGATGGTCAGAACAATTGGAATGATCGCAGAGTAGATGCCATTTTGATATCCCTTTGGCGTATGTTGATGCGTCAATGCGTGAAGATCAAATCGATGAAAATTAGGCCCAGCCTATTTCTTTATGGGTTTGATGGACCGGACATAGAGAACGTGATGCACACTCGGTCAGCTTTTGATCACCTGCGGGAATTTGACTTTTATGTGGACGAATATTATGACGGGACCTTTTCTAGAACGATCGACTTGATTCAAAAGCTTCCGTCTTTGTGTTCAGGGATTAAGAAGATGTCAGTATGCCTTGAAGAGGATCCCGTTTACAACATTGAATTTGAGGAAGAGGCACACTGGATAGCTGAAATAATTGGTGCTCAGCACAACATCAGTGATTTTAAATTTTCAGCGTCAAAGAACATGCGCACAGTCAAGATCATCTCGTCGGCGCTGGTGAAAAACGTGAATCGGCTAACTTCATTGTCATTTGTCGGTATAAGCTTTAACGGAATCTCGTTGAAATTGCTGTCGAACCTTCAGTGCTTGGAGCGACTGGCACTCTCCATCTGTTCGGGACTCACACAGACACACATACACTCCTTTCCTCAAACTCTGAGACTTCAGGAGTTGAGGTTGGACAGAAATGAATGGGCGAATGAGGTGGACGTCGGATTAATCCAAAAGTGCAAGTCATTATCAAAAATAATAATAAATAATCTCACGACGGAGAAAATTGCGGCGGCTCGAAATTCGACCAATATCACGGACATCACCGTCGAGATGAAGTCGGCCAGTTTCTTGGATGAATTTTTCGAATGGATTCGACGATACAAAATGTTGGTGAAACTTCACGTTAAAAATAGCTATTTTGAAGGTTGCGGATTATTCATTAGGTCCCTCGGAGAGATTTTGCCGTCATCTCTGATATACCTTGGTTTAGTCTGCGAGATCATTGGACCCGAGGAGTTGTCGGAATTCTTTAGAAAGTGCCATGCTCCCCTGGAGACATTGATCATCGCGCTCGACCCGCTGGGCTACGAGCACCTTTCTGTAATTGAAGATTTCGTTACAACGAGTCATTCTTTGAAATTGTTGAGCCTGTCTAATCGATCAGATAGCGAAATCTGGGGATCCCGAGAATTGGGGGTGATAGAAAGGATTAAACAACATGGAGTTGAAATGTTCGACTATGTCTCTTACAATCACCATCTAGCAGGTTGTTTTCTTTGAAATTTCAGATGGTATTTATTCGCTCTCTGTATCTATATACATACATACATGTATATATAATATATGTGTACACGTATATTCATGCATAGATTTTTACTTCTAATATCACGTTAATATCATGCTTATGTAAGCCATCAAAATCATTTACGTGCGCAAGTGCGTACGTACATATAAATATAATTTTTGACGTCATGAATTAATAAAAATGTCATATTGCTAGTAAATTAAACCCACTCATACACAACAGACCTTTGTCGAGTTAATGGTTATTGGTGAGAAGGGGTAGATAAAATTTGAATTTCGTTGGATGCAACGGATTACCTTATGTAAAGGTAAAGCAGATCGTTTAGGAATACAGCATGAAAAAAAACTTTTTTTTATCAGAAATGAATTCAGGATACACGGTGTACTGTATATATGCATATAATTCTAGAATAATTTCCTTGCGCTTTGTAATTTAAAAATATGCGTTCCGACAAGCATCTCCATTAATCTCCACTCACAATATTGGCAATTAGAAAGAGGCGTTAAGATTATCGGTCAAATTTTTAGTTTGCCGCAAAGCACCGTTCACCTTGAGACGCATAATTATTCCCCCACCATTGAGGAAACGGAATCTAAAAGAAATGCGTGTGCAACGATGAGAATTTGAAATTGTGTGAATTATGGACGTAGTTGATTTGATATAACGGTGCGGGTTACCTTGATAATCCCATTAAGAAAGAGGAAAATAACCATCGTCGTGATCTGCGCCGCGCTATCGAGTGCTGCTGACAGTACATAATTGTATCTGTTGATAGAAGTTCCGTTATTACAAAGGAGTGTCGTCTCATTAATAGTTAACCTTTAACTCACTTTTCCCACCACCTAATTATTAGACAAAAAAAAACATTTTTTGAGATGCGGCGTGAATTTTTTTTTTTTTTTCTCAAGTGAATGTATGTAGTATCGCGAACTAACTTGGTCCTGTATCTGTAAGCCCAGAATTGACTTAAAAAACTTGCAATCAATCCCATGATAATAAAATTCGTATAATTTCCGGGCAACAAGCTTAATCCACTACAAATTATTGGCACATTCACAAGGTCAAACCGAGCTTTAGGAAATTTACGGTGGAGTAGATAGAATGGTACGGGTGCCAGAAAACCTATTAGGAAGCCCCATAGGAGTGGATTATATATTGAGTCGGGCTTTTTTTTTTAAAAAAAAAAAAAAAAAGAAAGCAGGGTTAAATTCGGTAGACAAGATTTCGAGTTACTAGATACTGCATCATAAATATGCGGTACCCCAAACGTTCTTGCAGGTCCAATTAATCCCCACACAATCGATGCCGTGTTGAAAACTTGGGATGAATAACCAGTCCACTTTTTTTAAAAAAAAAAGAATTAGAGAATCAACATTTATCATTCCGAGTTATAAAATTATCGATCGCCCACCTGACCAGTTGGATCGTTTAGAGTTCCATCGAGGAATGGTCTTTTTGCCGCAATAATTAGCTTGAGTATCCAAAAATTCACGAACCCACCCACAATCGTTCCCCACAGTTGCGCCGTGAACATGCATCTCGGCGGAATCTTCATGTAGTGGCCTCGGGAATAATAGAAAATGTATTTTTTGTTTTTGTTTTTTTTTTTTTTCCTACGCAAACGAAATAAAAACTTAAGGCGTATATACCTAACTTCAAATCCGATACAAGCAAAAGACATTGATACATTGCCATATAACCATAACACTTAAAATAGACATTGGCAATTGGGCGACCCGGCAGTATATAACCACAAATCATTTCGGTGACCACGTTTAATCCGACTTGGTTATTCGAGATCGCCTGAATAACACCTATGAATCCGAAAAACATTTAAAAATCTCATGGTGGATAATATTTTTCGAAAAAAATTAAACCGTGCTGACCGATTGGAAGTACCATTATCGCCGCTAATGCAACAGCTATTAGTAATCCCCACCATGGTAAATTAGCCTCCGTGATGTATCCAAGAGTGATCGCGATGGCCAACATTCCAACGAAGATTAATGCGTACCAGGTGTTTGGAATCTCTGAAATTGTTATTCTCATAATTGTGCGCATAATAAAATCATTGGATAATAATTAATAAGTCCTCCTACCCGGATAAGCTTTCATCAACCTACAATGTATGTCTTCTTTCTCTTCTTCTCGACTTGCCCTAAATCTCTTCCAAATATCTTTACCGTAAAACAAGAACACGTGGCTAATAGCCGCGGTTAACGCGATGAACGAGTACAGGTAGGACATGGCGAAAGTGATCGAAAGGTAGACCGGGCTATAGCCCTCATACGCTGTCACGTTTAGGGAGCCAGTTGTTCTATCTATTATGAGGGTTTGATTGTACCTAATTTCGAAAAAGTATGTATGAGTGAGCGATGAATGGGCAAGAATATTTTTCATTATATTCACGGGCAAGATTTGTTCCTCACCTATTTCCATCTTTATCCAGAGAATAAGTTGCCAAAAATGGAAATCTTTGCGCTTCCCTATTAAGCGGATGCAAACCATTTTAGATTAATTTTTGATATAGAAAAAAAAAAAAAAGGTTCGTTGAGAAAACATCCCTCTTACAAGAAATTGTTCCAGTATAGCAACGGCGCAAGAATCCATGCTCCAACGATGACACCAAAATACCAATTCACTTGTGCCCACCTAATTTTTGAGGATAGAAATTACGCGTCAATTTTGCGGACCCAATGTCGATGAAAAACGTCGAGTCCTGGTACTACCATGGGGTAAACAAAGGGCCCGATTGCCCTATCGAATTCCAATCAAGAGTGATATTCAGGATCCCGACTCCGTGATAACCACTACCCAACTTCTTGATTTTACTGTTGTACGGTGCGATGAGGCATAACAATGCCATACTTGTCAACCAAGTGAACATATATTGAGGTACGAATTGCCAAACAAACATCATCGAAAATGCTATCAAGAAAAATCGGAGCTTATCACGCGTTTCGGACGCATCGCCGTGCAATGTGTTGTACATAGAGGCAAAGACCAAATTTGTTGGCCAAATCATGTTTGCTGGACGAACGAGATCTATCCCATGTTGAACGCAAGTTCACGCGCATAAGAAATCGGATATTGTGATGTAAAGAGTAAAGAAAATAACCTACATTTTCGAAGAAACCCTGAAAGCCCATAACCAATAATTTGGGTGCTCATCAATAACAGAAATCCCTTTATGAAATTAACACTGGTGTGATAAAAAAGTTCTTGGATGGCGATAATATCCTTAAAGATCACGCGGAAAGGCAAGACGTTAGCATAGAAACATTAAAATTCGTGGAAACTCGGATCCGGATATCCGTGGTTATTAATAGATATTAAAAAGAATATTTGCATATTTTGATTTGTATTAGTTACCGTTGCGTACGCTGATCCGCCTCCCGCTCCTGTTGAAATTGCTATGCAAACGTGCTCTTTGACATTAAATGGACCTGTGGACAAAAAACACGAAATCAAAAAAAAAAGAATGCGCAATCAATGAAAATGCAAATTTGCACAAGATTTTATAATAGCATCACAATTAAGTTTGTAACCTGGATTAAGACTAAACTCCCATCCCTTAATCTTGTATTTTTTTGTTGGAAGAACCTTTGCCATCCATTTCCCTAATACATAGGACACAAGCAAAACGAAAAACATCGAGAAACCACCTCCGTTGGGACGAAAATAATAAAATTCGGACAACGTCGCTCCAAGTGATGTGAAGAACTAAGAAGGTGAATGTAAAGGTACTCATACAACATTGTTGTGTTCGATCGGTCATGATATGTCAGAATAAATAAAAGAGAAAGACGTACCGTGCTTAAAATCCAAAATCGAAATGTTATGCACGGTAATTTTGGATCGTCCTTCGTGCTTACAGCCTAATAAAAAACAAAACGAATCGTTGTAACTAAGTAGATTTAATATTAGTGGTATGAAAAATAGGTGAATGGTCACCGCCGCGACAACAGGGATTGGTGAATTTTCTTCATCCTCAACGCTCTTTCTTTCGGAGTATGCCTTTTCAGAATCTCCACCCTTCATAGCAATTCCGTTCTCGGCGACGAATATTGATTCGCCATCAATTCTTCTTTCGAGTGATGGCCGCCGTTTATCTGTCATCTCCGTCGTCATTTTTCTATCTTGAATATTACTCTTTCTTATAATGTGAATTATCTAAAGAGCTGGGAAAAATATGAAGCATAATAAAATTTCCCCTAAAATTAATCGTTCGTGGCACGTTTATTTATCGAATGCCTATTTAAAGATGAGAAGTTTTTACGACAAAATTATATAATCTGAAACCGATTAGATTTTTAATAATGCTCATTCCTTTACAATAGCCTTTTTATACGCCGCCCATTTTTACTTTATAATCCCCATATTACACAGCAAGGCGACTGGACTTGTAGCAGTCTATTCAAAAGTGATATCACTAAGCTTATCAAATTACAAGATTTATTAAGTCCCAGCGACACGAGCTACTAAAAAGAAAAATCATGATTACGTACTTTTTCACTTATCTATCACTCGAGATAATTTATACGCATCATTTTAAGCGTTTTCCCATTAATCACCTCGAACTACGTGACGCGGCTTAATAAACATTTTTCAATGATACATAATAAGACTGCCTCTATAATTTACTTTCCTTAGGATCTAAATACACTCCATAAATGCACTTCCAGCTCATTAAATATTAATGCGTACACTTCGACATCCTGTCTCTTTACGAATCTCAACGGAAAATTGTCACATTGATTTAATGATTCCAGTATAAAGTCACACATGCCCCTAATCAGTGACCGGATGATATCAGAAATTTCCAAAGTTGGACGTACCAAATCCTATTCTTGGTAAATGTAGGAACAATGTTGCGTTGCCTAAAAAAGTAAAGCCCAATATAATAAAAAATTTTTTCATTGTCAAAAAACAAATAATCATTGAAACCGATGATTATATAACATGGATATTTAAAGCAAAGCAAATTAATATTTGAATCAAAAAGTAACGGTGGGAAATTTTTTTACATAATAAATAAATATGCAATAATCCAATGTATTTATTATTGTTATATATATGCTTAAATAAAAAATCTTTATATACAGTATAATAAATAAATGAACTTTTTATTAAATAAACAGAGGAGAATTGAATTAAAATAATAATTATTTAAAAAAATTTTTTTCTTATATAATTTTTCTCTCAATTTTTAAAATATTGTATATTAATAGTTTAAATTAAAAATTTTAATTAATAAAAATATATATATAATATATACAGTTACTTTCAAAAGTTTAAATCTATGTACTATATTTTTACTAGTATTTTTATTTTTAAATATTTTTATATTTTTATTCAATTTTTCTAAAATTATAAATTTCAAGTATTATTTTTTCAAGTGTTCAGATTATTCGTATAAAAAATCTCATTATATAAAATTTTTCAGATATTTATTTGAATATTCTATTTATTTCTTTACTAATGTTATACCAATTCTGATAACTGTTAATCCTCTTTCTATCAATCCATGGATTCATCAAAGATATTTTTTAATTTCCTTGTTAAAGAATATATTGAAACTTTCAAATTTTTTATAATATATTTTTCTTCTTTTCTTAAAGTAACAAAATTTAATAATCATATGATTTTTCTTAATAATTAATTTTTTTCAAATATTCCTTTCTATATATTTATCTTTTTCGATTCTTATTCATATATTACAGAGTATTCTAAATATAAATATAAAAGTTTTATGAAGTTTTCCATTATAATATTATTTAACCTACTTGTCAATTTATCTTCATATTATTTATATCTCACTTTTTCTAATTCTTTAAGCTTCCATTGTAAATAAATTCATTTCTTTTCAAATTTTTTAAATATTTTTGAATATAAATAATCTTTTGTAAATTCATATATTTTCTTAATTTTACTATTCTTTCTTTATCATATTCATCTTTTAATTCTATATTTCATTTAACTAATTTTTTATATAATAATAGTAACCTTATTTTAATTTTACTTTAATTTTTTCATAAATAATTTTTATGATTCATTAAGACTTGTAATATTTCTTTCAATTCTATAAAATATTCTTTTTTTTTTTTAAACCGCAACTGGTATTAGATGCAAGCTCTTTATTGATAATTAAATCTTAAGTGTTACATCAATCATCTCATATATATACATGCAGATTAATGATAACCTATCGTGACTTGTCCTAAACAGACCTGTTTAAAATCCCTCTATAGGTGGACATACCTGATTAGGGGCCGGATGGTTAATAACAGTTATCAACGGTAATATTGGTATAGTTAGCTAATTCTGTTAATGAGAGACTACTATGCTAACTTATATACTAGTAACAAATCCTCAAGGGTTATTTTAACTATCCAAATATCCTAATACTTTTCACTTGAACCTCAGAAGGGATTTCTTTCTTCTTTGTCATCACCTGTGGCATCACAGACAAGTCCTATTTAACAGGTCCTTCATTTAAGCAAGCACCGGATTGGAATATTCCAAGTTAGGGCAGTCAGATTCCAAAGTCTGCTGGTACAGTTTTGGGGTAGGGAATGTTCAGACGATTGTCGCAGTCCTAAAAGCAGGGTCCTGGGGTTTGTATCTTGTCCAGTTCAGGAGGGATTAAGTCAAGCATAATTTGTATAACCAGACCAGTAGCCTTTCTTTATGCAATCCTCACAGTAGATCCTTTTCAGCCCGGCGATCAACAGGGAGGTCAGAAGTCCCATCCTCATGCAACCTGGTTATTTTTTTCACATGGCCCTTGTGTGGTATTGAACTCTGGACCTTGTGATTGTGACCTGGGAGCACTACTACTATGCTATAGACCCACAGATCATATTCTTTTTTTATAATATTTTATTAATTTTTAAATACTTTTAATAAGTTAATAACATCTTGATTTATATATTTTTCAATGTTTTAATAGGTTTGCCATTATTCATTTTTCTTTTTTTATTAGTTTCAATCCTTTAAATTGTTGTTTAATTATTTCTTCCCAATGATTTTTTTTAGTATTTTTTTTTAATAAATATAATTTATTTGTATATACAATATAATTAAATTTTTTTTTAAGCTATTTTATCTAATGTTTACTTAAATAATAGACTTGATTAGATTTAAAAATCAGTACTCTTTTTACTAATTCTCTGACTATACATAAAAAAGATGTTCACAAGAAGTTTTAATATCTCTTGACTAATAAAATCTTAACACTTTTCTTAATTCAACCTGAAGGGAATCTACAAGAGTTACCTATATTCTCTCTCTTGTTTACAATCAATTTCAGGTAAACTAAACTCTTGTGATCTATAAAGTTCAGCTCTCACCTTTACTACTAAAGACAAAAAAGTTCCTAAAAGGAGAAAAATCACTAGTGTAATACTTGTCACTACTCTTATAAAGTAAAGGAACAAGACAAAACAAGACAGAGATTTCTACCCTAGTCAAAAGACTCATTTTTCCTCTTGACCTGGTTATGTGGTCTCTAAGAGCTTTCACTTCATGACTTTTTAGGGAATTTTGTCTACTTTAGCTTAATCCTGAATTTTAGGATAGCACAAATCCTGCTGATTGTGATTGGATAACATGAAACACGTTAGATTAAATTGATAAACAAGTACTATTGGCTACTTCACATATTTGAATGCATTTCCTCAACTCCATAAGAACCTGAATCCACTATAAGTCACAGGCTGTTGTGTAGTTAGATACAGGATGCAGTTATCTTCTACATTAAAGAAAAAGGAAAAGAGAGAGAACAGACAAGTTCATGAATAAAAGGACTCATGTACTGATAAAGATAACCCAACATGCTTATAATAAGATAAATTTAGCCTAATGTGATACTGAAAAAACAATACAAGCCTCTAAGAAAGCATGGCATCCCAAACATAGAACTGAACCCCAAATAAGAAATAAACAGAACCAAGAGACACAACAGGCCCTACAATATAAAGAATTATAAACTGACAACTTATATCAAGACTCTTAACATAATTTTCTTTCTAGAATGACCATCTAGGTTACTAGTGGCACTTACCAATCTTACTCTGGATAAAAATACTAGTTGAAAATGACTGTTAAATTGAAAAACCCCCTAAAAATTTAGCCTGACTTTGGAAGAGTTGTGTCTTCTTAAATAAGTAGCTTACGCTTGAAGCTAGCATTATTTCTAAAACTAGGTTATCAATCTACCATAGTTTTAAGGTCTCTCCTAGCCGTAGGTCCCATCTGATCTTTGGATAAGTAATTCCCTAGGCAAAGTATTAGATGAGATAATATTAACAAAGTTGGTATCTGAAACCATACCCCTTCTTAGTCGAAAAAAGAACATTTTCTCCTCCCTTTTAAAGATAAAGAAACATAGTATTCTGATTGATAATTTGTAAGAGTTGACTTTTCTTGGCATTAGGCTTAGTGGATGATCAATAATAGAAGAAACCTTGGTCCCTATCTAACAACACCTGGTGTATACTTTTCAATAATTCTTGCACTAGTTTAAAGGTAACTTTAGACTAGTCTCTTACTTGGTAGAATAGCAAAAAGCAATTCAATAAACTGTTCAGTTTTAGATAGTTTAATAGTTCTTATAATAGTTATGATATTTTCAATATAATTTTGAATCTGTTTTTATTAATGCTAATAAATATTTTGAGCTGACAAAAAAAAAAAAAATAATAATAATGGGCTTAGTTAAATTGATTTGTTCAATATTATAATTAATTATAAAAAAAATTCTTTTTTAAGATTTAAATAAAAGTAAGAAAAATATTTCAATCAAACAATTTCTTTTTAAAAAAAGGTGGTTCAGTTAGTATACTTTTTTGAAATTGCTCGAATTGTACTCTTTTCATTTGTTTTTTCTCTTTATTAACTTAGAAATTTATAATTTTTGAATAATTTATAGTAATAAACTATTTTTTTTTTTTAACCCACAATCAAGCCAATATGGCTTGTCCATTTTATTGTAAACATATTTGGTATTATATATTTTATAACTTTCAAATATTGATTTA